ATGTCCAGTAAACAGATTTTTGTTCACATACACTTTTACTCATAAGAAAACATTTATATGCACCACTGCAGATGAAGCTCGGGAGAGGAGAAACCGTATAAATAACATACACTTTTTGGTCTAGATCATTAACTTTATATGCAGTCCATTGGGTGTTTAAAGTAGCCGCCACAGCTTTGTGTTTATTTGGATTTCAAATGTGAGTCACGCTGACATCCTAGCCATCATAACTTACCATACCCATTAGTTTTTGAGTCTCTGTGTGTGTTTAAAATAAGGTATTATTATTGTTATTATTAGAGTCTGTAATTTGTCTATGTGTGAATCCTCGGTTTTATTTAGGAGAGGATGGCAGAGGGAGGTTATGACCCCTGTGAGTGCATCTGCTCTCATGAGCATGCCATGAGGAGACTCATCAGCCTGGTGAGTTCTATTATATAAAAAAAAAACATACTTGCGTTTGCTTACTTCGGATGTGCAAATAGAAATTCATCTTATAAATTTTATATAAACGTACTGATCCACTGATCTGTATGAAAGAAAATGTAATAACTGATTGAGACAGACCCTGTCCTTGGATTTCTCTTCTTTTCTTGGTACAATATTGGTTATCAGATATATATATATTTGTATTTTAGATTCTTTTGAGGGAGAGTAGTCTTTACATTTAAAAAAAATATCTTTTATAATTCCTATAAACAACCCTGAACTAAAATTACTTTGCAATTAAACTGCTATTTAATTAGTTTTAAAGAATTGTACAAATAGCATTACTATGTATTGTTTTTTTCATAATGGAGAGAAAGAATTATAATTGATTTCACATTGGCTAATGAAGCTATGATACTAATAAATAATTGCCAAAATGTTTGTTTTATAACTGTGTATAAAGGCATTTAATTTCACTAAATTAATTTCATATGGAAGCGTGCTGGTCTGACAGGGCTTGTATGTTCCAGTTGTTTGTAGTTTTTAATAAGCTATTGTCTATGCAATAACACAAGGAACTTCAGATTCAGGACCAACATCATCTAGGCAATTTCCAATCTTTATTAAAAATATTTTGTATAAAAGAAATATCCACTTTAAGAGAGTGTTGAAAATAGTCCATATACCTTTTTAAAATTATGCAATAGGTGTCGAATAATTTTGCTTTTGTAATTGAAATAAATGGCCAGTAGATGGCGCTAGTGCTTCTCTGGTTCACTTAGTTTAGCCAATGAATAACATTTGGTTCAGCTATTTTCAATATTTGTAGAGCAAGCATTTGAAATCCAATAGTTTTTGCCCTGTTGAAAACAAGATATGATGCTTTTTTGGGGGATATCAACAAATACTTATATGATATCTATATATCTATCTATATATACAGTATATCTATATAATATGAATGAAACTGGCATTCTGCAGAGGGACACACACATTTATTGTTTCAAATTAAATTCAAAATGAATTAATGTTTTATGAATTAGTGTAATATAGAAGCATTCGCTTTTGTTCTAAAATTGCTTTAAGGCAGAATCCCACATCCACACACAATGTTGTCATTTCATCCATATAGTATGTTTTTTGATGAAATATTTTCTTTGTGATTCATTTCCAAGCTGAGACAGTCCCAGTCCTACTGTACAGACACAGAGTGCCTTCAGGAGAGTGAGTCTGTCTGTGCAAAACTAAAGCATATCGCACTATGGCACATATTGTGTGTTCTTTTCTAACTTGTGAGTCTTGTGTGTATGCAGTGCCAGGCCCCAACTCCTCAGTAGAAGGGGACATCACTCTACATGGCTGTGGCAAACAAATATATTTAGGAATGGCCATTTTTACTGCAGTATTTTCCTTTTAGGAATTGACTCACAGTGCACACACTTTAGAAGTTGATTTCAATTTGTGTAATATAAATAAAAACTTAAGTAAAGGATAATTTTACTTTTTACAAGTCCTGTGACTAATACGAAACTGAAACAAAATCAACGATATGCATGAACAATACAGACACAGAGTGCCTTCAGGAGAGTGAGTCTGTCTGTGCAAAACTAAAGCATATCGCACTATGGCACATATTGTGTGTTCTTTTCTAACTTGTGAGTCTTGTGTGTATGCAGTGCCAGGCCCCAACTCCTCAGTAGAAGGGGACATCACTCTACCCATGATCATTATGGGATGGCTTGTGCTAGCTCTCGTGCTCTTTCTGATCCGCCCAGCCAGCTTGAGGGGCCCTTCAGCCAGCAGCAAGCCCTCCGGTCCCCATGGTGTAAGTCATGACAGACAAACTCCCTCATAATCAGTGAGTTATCACTTGCATAACATTGTCAAACATTTTAATGTTTTTTCTTATGCTCCCCAAAGCTGCATTTATTTAATTAAAGGCACAGTAAATACAGAAATACTGTGAAATATTCTTATATATATAACTTTTATTTTTGAATATCTGTTAAAATGTAATTTATTTCTGTGATCAAAGCTGTATTTTCAGCATCATTACTCCAGTCTTCAGTGTCACATGATCTTCAGAAATCATTCTAATGCTGCTCAAGAAACATTTCTGATTATTATCAGTGTTGAAATCTGTTTTTGCTGCATAATATTTTGTGGTAATGGTGATACACTACCATTTAAGTTTGTGGTAAGGGAAAAATTAATACTTTTATTCAGCAAGCAGACATGAAATTGATCAAAATTAGATTTCTATTTCAAATACATGCTGTTCTTTTGAATTTTCTATTCATCAAAGAATCCTAAAAAATATAATATATATATATATATATACATACATACATACATGCGCATATATATGTATATGTGTATATATAAATATTTATTAAAATATTTTTTTACAAAAATATTAAGCAGCAAAAACAGCTTTCAACATTGATAATAATAATAAACATTATTAATAATTCAGTTATAAAAATAAAAAAAACAGTAATATTGTGAAACATTACCATTTCAAAATATTACAGTTTTTTTTTTACTGTTTTTTCGTCAAATAAATGCAGCCTTGATGAGCAAGAGACTGACAAAAAAGATGAAATCTCAATTATTCCAAACTTTTGACCGGTAGTGTGTAAATGATCATCAAACTCACCTCCACAGTGAAATAACAGTAATCAGAAAGTGTAGCAACGCATGTACATCTTTAATAGGTTTTAACCATCAGCAAAACATCAAATGTATATTATGGGCTTTGTATCTCTTCATACACACAGTCAGTTCACATGAATCACTGAATTGGAGTTCTTGTAGTCATTGGATGGAATTCTTTTCTCCTGATTTAGAATCATGGCAGAGAGCCACCAGCACCTCCTGTGGACTAGAGCTTTCTCACGGATCTTTTACTCCAGCTTCCACCTGATCAGCTACTGTGACTAATATAACACGTTAGTTTCCTTAATCATGTGTCAGTGCTTCACATTTCAGATTCTTTTGTCCAATAGGGAGGGGGGCCTGATCTACACAGACTCTTGGATAACAAGGTGTTTGTACAGTTTGTGTTATATTTCAAAAGAGAAAGTTGAGGTGAAATTGTTAGAGACTAAAGTTTTCCGGGTTTATATATCTCCGTCTTCGATTTTTTACTTCTTACTATATTTTCACTATAAAGCATTATTAGGTATTTAGCAAGTGTTAAAATGACATATAAGCCTGTGTAATGACACTTGCCTAATTGTGATCTAGACACAAGGTTACATAGAAATCTGGTTTCGTTAAGATATTCGGGTTATTTTTGAGTAGACTGAGGTGAAGAGGATAATGTTCTTGTCCTGAAGCTATGATGACTTCACAGACAGCTCATTCTAAACACTGATGTAATTGAAACGATTCACACATTTAAGGCTGACCGAGAGCACTTCTTAAAGGGATAGTTCGCCTTCAGTTGCTGGTCCCCATTGACTTGCATAGTGTTTTTTTTTTTTTCCAACTGAAGGTGAACTATCCCTTTAAATCAAAATGTTGGGCAATAATGAAACGGGCGTATTCTAGTTTTTACTTGGCTGTTATCATTGTAGTCATGGCTTTGTGAATGTTGTCATGGTCTGGGATCTGTTGACCACAGCTGATCTAAAGCAGACCTCTCCCCCCCGAAGACTCGATGACAGTCTGTTTACTCTTTATGTGCAAAAACCACTAAAACAATTGCTAGTACAGCCAGCTAAATGCCATTCTTAACAGAGTTGTTTGCATTTGCTCAGGAATCATTATGTAGCTGTACGAACTACAACACTTAACCGGTATGAATAGCTGTCAAGTTTCAGAAACAATGGCTTTCAAAATAAGCTTTGAATTGGGTGTTGCAATTTTGGTAATATTTGCAAAGAGTGAGATTCTCTTTAGGATAAGCTTAAAGGCAAAACTGTAGCACTTTCGTTCTGGCACCTTCACAACTGTGTAAAGAAAGCAAAGCTCCAGAAAAACACCAAAGATAGGATGTAAAGTCTTCAAGTGTGGTGTAACTTAAAGTTCCCGTCTCTTCAGTTCTGTGAGAATGTTAGAATGTCTTAATTGGTTGGACTAAATATTTCTGGGTAGATCAGTGAAGGTGGCGGTGTGGATTTCAGGGCATGATGTACACTGTTCTAATAAAACTGCTCTATGAGAAAGGGCTTCATCTATGCACTTTTGGTTACTACAAATAAATATGATCAATAGCATCCCATCGTGTCTTTATTTTGTTAAATGTGGGAATGGGGATATTTGCAGTGTTGTCAACTAATTTTCAGGGGAAGTTGCTAAAGGAAGGTTGATTTGTTGCTAAAAGTTGCTAAATGACGTTATGTCATTGCGCGGTGACGTCATTGCGTAATCACGATGCAAAATAACATTTTAAATTATGCATTGTATTTTGTGTTTTCGGGTTACAATGGATAACGGATAATGTCCTGGAAAATTACTACCTTTTTCATTTTTCTAGATATGTTTATTACCGTGCACTAACTGATCAACAAACTCAAGTACAAGCTACTAACAAGGTGTATCATAAATGAACAATTATTCAATTATTACTATTATTATTCAATTAAACAGTTGCTAATAGCAGCTAACTTAATTCATGTGAATTGTGTACTGCTAGGCACCTTTGGTTTCCTCTTTTTGTGTAGTTTAGATGGAAAATGTGTGCCTTTTTTTATCGTTTGAGTCACTTATCAAAAGTTGCTAAATGTTGCCAAATAAATTTTAAAAAATTGCTAAATTTGTTGCTAGGTGCTTTTGGAAGAAAAAGTTGCTAGGGTAGTCTGAAAAGCTGCTAACTCTAGCAACAAAATTGCTAAGTTGGTAACACTGGATATTTGTTGGTGTAGTGGTTAGTTCTAATTAGACTTTTTCAACATGACTTTGAATGTCTCAACATTTCTGCGTCAAACGGACCACTAATGCGTTCTTTTGATGTTACGTCACCGAGACCTCCCAGTCGCTGATTGGCTGTTTCGCTGTAATGACGTTTCACGTCAAATGAAAAGTCCCAATAATCAGTTTTGCCATATTTACATTAACATTCAAACCGAAATAGTTTTAAATAGGAATAATAAATGCTTTCGGTCTATGAACGTTCATTTGTTCTGTTTAAGTCACGGTCAAAATAATATTTGGATAAGAACGAGACTCTTAGTTTGAAAACGATCCGGAAGCTGAAGTCCGTCTCTGAAGTGTTTACGTTGCTGTGTGTGTGTGTGTGTGTGTGTGTGTGTGTGTTCTGCGTGTGTGTGTGTGTGTGTGTGTGTTCTGCGTGAGTTTATATATCGAGGATATAATAGTTTTATTCATTCGGGAACAAGGCTCCTCAGACGGAGGAACCTTCGCGCAGAAGAGCGTTTTAACGGAAGAACTTACGAGGTAAGTCTGTATTAAAGCTATTGAATTCTTTAAAGTATATCTCGTTGATTTTTAAAGTGTGATTTTGTGATTGAAGCTATAGTACAGAATGTCTACACAAGTCTATAAATGGAAAAACAGTTCAGTTATAAAAGCTGATAAAGTTCCTGTATTCATAGAACATCACAAATCACATTATAAATAATTTAATGATATTTTACATGTAACGATTACGTTATGTTAAAAGCATCAACAGGCAACAGTTAAAAACTTTTTTTGCGAACACAAAATTTGCGTTCTCTTTATCTGTCTTTAAAGTTTATCATCTTATTCATGGCTATATATTCATTAGTCATGCACGTTAATGGCTAAACGGTTCCGTCTTTTTTTTTTTTTTGATGAATCATTTGATCTTTTGAGTATAAAGTTCCTGTATTCATAGAACATCACAAATCACATTATAAATAATTTAATGACATTTTACATGTAACGATTACGTTATGTTAAAAGCATCAACAGGCAACAGTTAAAAACTTTTTTTGCGAACACAAAATTTGCGTTCTCTTTATCTGTCTTTAAAGTTTATCATCTTATTCATGGCTATATATTCATTAGTCATGCACGTTAATGGCTAAACGGTTCCGTCTTTTTTTTTTTTTGATGAATCATTTGATCTTTTGAGTGATTCATTAACGAAGGGATGTCAACATTTACATTTATTTTATACTTCATTTAAAAACAGTTTATTTTTTCATTATTATTTAACATACTCGTGAGAGTAGATTTTAGGATTTATTTTTAATAGTATTTTTTAAGAGATTGCTTGATTTATAACATTTATTATATAAAAGAATCGCTGAATTGCATTTTGGAATGAACTGTTCAAAAGAACCGAACGTAGCAAAGGATTCGAACTTTTCATCACTACTTGAAGCTCCACTGGCAGAGCTGGGTAGATTACTTAGATTACAACAAGATTAGATTACTTAGATTACAAATTGTACTTCGTTACTGATTCCAAATTGCATGACAAAAATTGTAGTTAGTATTGTAATCCATTACATTACACATTTTAGGTAATATAATCAGACTACTTTTTGATGACTTTTCACCCAACTCATTAATCACAGTGATTTAAATAGAATAACCGTGTACCATATTGATATAAAAATAGAAAGAGATAGAAAATTAATTCAATTTGTTGTAATCAACAACATGAAATACATTAAACATTACATTATAAAGGTGTCCCAAACTGGGGTTCGTAAAGGAAATGCAAGGGGTTCATCGATCATTAAAATGTACAATTAAAATAAATTATTTAAAAAGAACATCAAAATAAAATGCTGACTACAAAAATGAAATATTTTATATGGTTATCTGCATATATCATGCCTGTCATGTGAATATTAACCAACGTCAGAGAACCGTGAACATGCAAATGTGATACTTAATTATTAAAATATTTATTTAAATAATTACTTCAAGAAAATATATTAGATGAAAGAGGTTAATCTGACAAAAAACGTTTGGGAATCCCTGCATTACATACAAATAAGAAATAACATGAATTTGTGCATTTTAATGTGTTTTAAAGTCAAAATCCTTCCAAAGACTTAGTAACACATGGTTAAATAAAGTGATAATTCAAATAAACATTAATGTGTTCATCAGCAGTTGATGCAATGCTGAGAAAACACTGAGGTGATTTTTGTAAATCCAGTGGCCTCTCAGTTTTCTGTGTAATTATAACCACCTGACTAATGAATGTCCACAAAACTGGAAGACTCTGAATCTATATAAGTGGTAAGCTTATTTAAAAAGGAACGTTTAATAGATGAAAAAAAGAATTGGGGAGAATCAATAAATTATAAATAATTTATTGCTATTGTGTGAATAAAATGTAATCATGTAATCAATAAAATAGCAACTATAGCCTGATTACGAGTATTTTAAAATGCAATATAATCTAATTACAAGTACTTTTTTTTTGGAATCTGATTACATAATCCATATTTCATTCTGAATCTATATAAGTGGTAAGCTTATTTAAAAAGGAACGTTTAATAGATGAAAAAAAGAATTGGGGAGAATCAATAAATTATAAATATTTTATTGCTATTGTGTGAATAATATGTAATCAATAAAATAGCAACTGTAGCCTGATTACGAGTATTTTAAAACGCAATATAATCTAATTACAAGTACTTTTTTTTTGGAATCTGATTACATAATCCATATTTCATGTAATGAGTTATTACCCACCTCGTGAGGCCCTGGATCCCTGTGAAAGAGGATGAGGGCCATTCATAATTCACATAGTCTGATTCACATAGTCTCTCTGCTCAGATGTTTCAGATTAAAAAGATTTGCTGTATAGGCGCTGGGTATGTCGGAGGTCCGACATGTAGTGTCATTGCAAGCATGTGTCCCGAGATCACAGTAACAGTGGTGGATGTTAATGAATCCCGGATCAAAGCCTGGAACTCCGAGACCCTGCCCATCTATGACACCGCTGGAGCAGATGTAGACAAGAATGACTCCTAAGCGATTGAGGTGTTCTGTTGTTGGATGTAATAATGAACACAGCAGTCGTCATTTACTCCCGACATCTGAGCCGCTGAAGACGCAGTGGATTACGTTTGTTTCTGAAGGGAATGCACCCCGATCTACATAAATGCGTTTTATGTTCACGCGTATCATTCGTGATCCAGCCTCATCTACAGAAGAAGTGAGTATAATGTTTTGTAATGAATCTTTGCAAATTGCCTTTCCTAATAATGTGTTAATTAGCAAGTTTCACAATGAATAAAGTAAACAGTCTCTCTGAGAGCGGGGCGGGGTCAGCAGAGCTCATTAACATTTAAAGGAAAATGCTACAAAAACGGCTTGATCTGAAAAGAGCTGGGTTTGACGGGGGAAAAAGGGGGTTTTTACACTACCATTGAGAAATTTTAACCAAACTATGTTACAGACTTTTCATTAAGACCCTAAAGAATCATATCAACTTGTGAAAAATGGGCATCCCATGACCCCTTTAAAGGTGCAGTTAGATATAGAGATGCACTGATCAACCGGAATCAGGCATAAAGTTGGTTTGATGTTCGATATTCCCAAATTTAGGGACTGTCTCTAAAGTTACTTACAACATTGGTATACATGTAGCATTTGAAAAGAATGACTTACAGTCATAAACCCAACTGTAAAGTGTTCATCTAGGTGTCAGCTATAATGCACACCTTTTAGATTTTTGATATTTGTTAAAATAAACCGTGAAATCATATGATGAACACTTTACGTTAATCTTATAACATTATTTATGCATTTGCAATTTGGCACCTCAGCTTCATCAAACAGTCTGTGTAAACACATCTAATGCCGCTTCAGATGCATCTTGGGTTTTGTTGATACTGGTTTCATTTGAATGGTAAAAACTCTACAGTTTCTTATTATTCTGAATTAATTGAAGCAATTGATGAGAATTTGATGTGAAAGATGACATGCATTTAATAAGACTAGGGGGAAAACAATGGGAAATTACATCTGTTTTGTCATATACAGCAATAAATATATTGTAGCGATAGTAATTTATACCTCTTTCCAGTCACAGAGCACTTTATTTTGAGAACATATGTAACTTAGTCCAGATTGGGGGAAATTGTAATATTATGCAAATATATATATTTTTTTGCATAAAAGAAAAAAAACAAAAAGAGTAGATTTTTGTTTGTATATGCTGTCAATTATAGTTCTTAGAAAATCGGAAATTGGCAAAAATCGGTATCTGCAGGTCACACTTAGAAAAAAAAATGGAAATCTGAATCGGCCAACAAAATTGAAA